CCTGGAGAGCTTTAGGAAACGCTTTTCCCACCTTCCTAAATTTTGAAATCAGTAAGTGGTATAATGTGGGCTTGGGAATTTTGAGATCGCTACATGCTTTAAAAAAAAAGAAAAAGGCGTCGTGCTTAGATTCACTGACCTGGACCCAGTCTCTGTGATGTGGTCCAGGTAAGGCCAGCCCTGGACTAAATAATGAAACAGACTACATCCTAAAGTTGTTTTTTTTTTATATTCCTACTCTTTCTGTACCCTCTCTTCCATCTTTTACCCTATTTATATGATTCTCCTACTTCTAATAAAGTTTATGACATCAGTCATTTCTACCTAGATATAAATGAGTTTGGTATTTTTGCACTTTTCCCAGAGATACTTGGATTTAAGTCATTGCTAACAGTGAGCTAAAGAGTTCATTTCTGGGGCGCCTGGGTGGCTCGGTCAGTTAGGCCTCCAACTTCAGCTCAGGTCATGATCTCACAGCTAGTGAGTTCGAGCCCTGCATTGGGCTCTGTGCTGACCGCTCAGAGCCTGGAGCCTGCTTCAGATTCTGTGACTCTCTCTCTCTGCCCCTCCCCTGCTTATGCTCTCTGTCTCTCAAAAAACAAATAAGTGTTTAAAAAAAAGTTCATTTCCTAAAAAAAAAAAAAAAAATAGTGTAACATCAGCAAACAGATAAGAAACATCACTTGAGAATAGCAAACTCCTCTCTAGCCACATACAAACACTTCCCCCCACACCCCTGCCTCTGACCAAGCCCTTTTCTACTTAAGTTGCCTGAATTTAAAACAAACTGCTGAATCTTTGTATATTTCCATTTATTTATGAATACAAACTTTTAGGTATTAATAATGTCCAAAATTAACATTAATATTATTTGTAAGATTCTATGAAGTACTAAATACTACCGTTAAGAACACGTTTATTTTTGATATGGTTAATGTTAACCAAATAATTTTATTATACAAACTGTTGCCTTATCTAGTATATTAGTATAAAATGGATGCAGTTTTATAGATGAGGAAACCCCACTTCGTCTCGTCTGTGCCTAGTAGCAGGTGCTCTATGACGGACAGTTAAAGCTTGATGGCTATTTAGCAAAGTGTGCACAGTGCCATCTAGTGGTATCCAGTGATCACTGCAAAACCTAAATGTCCATTTTCCAAAGTGATTTTGATGGCTCAAGAGTAAACATCTTTATACAACTGTCAGACTTTTAAAACAGACTTCCTAATAGCTTCCTTATGACTCTAAACTTAGCACATTTCTTAGTGCTCCTACTTCATTAAGCAGAAGGCTTGTGATACCTTTTAATAATAATTAATAGGTATTAAATACTTCTATGCACTGAGCACTGAGTTAAGTGCTTTCTATGGATTGTCTCATTTGATCCCCCCAATAACCCTGCAGTGGAACAGCTCTTGTTGTCCCCATCTTACAGATGTGGAAACTGAAACTTAAGGACATTAAGTGATTTGCTCAAGGTCACATGGATAGTCGATAGGAGAAGCCAGTCGAAACCCAACCTACCGTCCAGGAACCTGCACTATTCTGCACTGTAATCTGCACCTCCCAAAGCAGTTACCAATGGAATAAAATTTCTGATAAGTCTTTATGAAAGAGGGCCTTCCTCACCAGGTCTCTAATTATCAAACACGGTAAAACCGATTCAAACTCCACTAACTGAGAACGTAACGACAGTTAAACTAAATATTATCTGTCTTTGGGGCTGAGATGTAGTTTGGCCTTCTTTTGTATGGCCAACACGATATATGCTCAAAATTACATGTTAATTAACTTATCGAATTTGGGGGCACTGGGCTGAAAGTTGGGTTTGGATTCACAGACCTTGTAAGTTGATAATGGCGTAGCATTTATCAGATATAATGGCGTAGCATAGATCAGAAGGTGTTTAATTATCTTAACACTAGTAGTTATCATTTGTTGAGCACCTATGTGCCAAGCTCTGTGACCAGCACCTGTGTATACATTCTCTTTTCTCCTCGCTATAACTGTCTCTGGATGGTATTCTCCTCATTTCTAGAAAGGAAACCGTAAAGTATATAGAGGAGGAGTAACGTGCCCACAGTTTTATGATTATTAGTAGAGCCAGGGGTGAAACTTCAATCTTTGTGACTGCAAAATCTGTGTCTTTTGCCACTCTTGGAAAATAAGTATTATAGTGTGCATGATTCCAGTTTTCTGTGTACCGCCATCCCTATGCAAAAAGACCATCATCTCTGCTGGGATGACGGTAACAGGCTCCAGCCACTTCCCCCGTGCATGCCTGCCCACCTCCATTGCTTTCTGCCCTTACTGTCCGAAATGATAGTTTTCAGCTGCATTTCTGAGCGTGTCACTCTATTTAACACCTGTGTCTTCATACTTTTAGTGTAAAGGCCAAAAGATTTGCCGTAGCCACAGTACTCCTCCAGCCTTATCTTATTCCTCTGGGCCCTTCACGACCATCTCATAATCCCATTTTGTATGTAGCACCCTGTCCACCACAACAGGTCATCATTTCTGATTATCTGTGTAATTGTGAATCGTGTCCAAATCCCCACCTGTTAGTTCCTTGAGGCAGGAACAACATCTTTGCATCCTGCACCCAGACGTATCCCCAAGGACTAGATCCAGAGGATCTGTACATCAAACATAAAGGGAATAATTATAGGAACCCAGTTCCTGCAGAAATTAATTTAATTCCTCAAGAAGTTAATTAAACAAACAAACAAACAAACAAAAACTTGTAGATGCCGTCTACCTGGAAGTACCTTGGATGCTGACTTGAAAAATTGGATAAATAGCATTAAGAAATACAAATAATTTCCTTGTAGGACATACAGAGAAGGTTATAAATTTGGAATCCCATAAGTCTGAATTTATCCAAACCTAATAGATATGTAAGTATTTCAGTTAGAAAGTGATTTGTATTCTTCTGTTCCAAATAAGAGATATGCTGGAAAGTTGTTTTATTCTGGTTTTTTTTTTAGTTTTACATGATTCACATTGTACCTTTGTTCAAGTGCAACATATTGTCCTGTGTGTCAGGCATTACCACTTTTGACTTCATGATTTTTCCCATGTAAGGAGCACTGTCCTCACTCTGCAGATGGGGACAATGAAGCTCTATGTCTTCAAGGCTATGAGGGCATGCACTTGAAGTAGAAGGGCTGTATTTAGACCTCGGTCTTTGGACTTCAAGTCCAGTGCTCATTTGGACTCCCAAGTCCAGAAGTTCAATACATGTTAGTGTTTTTTTAATATAGTGTCAGAAATGAGTAAAGAAGCAGGAAACTAAAACTTACGAGTAAGTAGAAATGCATACGTGGAGGGCACATTTTTCAGGAACTGAAACCTAAGTGTGTATTTCATTGAGAAAGACAACATACTCAGTTTCAAGAGCAAAAGCATGATGAAAAGTGAACCTTAAATATGGCGAAGTTGTGGGGACACTGGAATTCTCATACGTTGTTGATGTAGATGTGAAATACCACGACTATATCGGAACACACCTGGGGAGTTTCTCAAACATTCAACATATACCAACCATACAACCTAGCCCATTTCATTTCCAAGTATTTACCAAGAGAAATGGAGCTTATGTCTATACAAACATTTGTACGTGGCTGTTCATAGCAACTTCATTCATAATAACCCCAAACTGAAACAACTCAAGTGTCTATCAACAGGTGAGTTGAAAACCAAATTGCGATCTATCCACGAACAGAATGCTATTCAACAATATTAAGGAACAAACTATTAATACATGCAACAACGCGGATGACTCTCAAAGTAATTATACCAAGTAAAAGGATCCAGACAAAATAAAAGTACGTACTGCATGATTCCAGCTATCTAGAATCCTGGAAAACCATTTTGGAAAGTATATCTGTGGTTGCCTGGGGTGAGGAGTGGGCTGGATTAAAAGGAGCCAGAGGAAGCCTTTGGGATGGAGACGATCACTGTCCTGATTGTGGCAATGCTTTCTGGGGTGTTATAACAAGGCTTGAGCATGAACAGGGAAGAAATAGAAATGGAATTCTTGACGACACTAGTGAAAGTAACCATGACTTAAGTTCTATGAGTTAGTCAATAGTGTAGCCAAGAAGCTGTTCTTGACCAGGTTAAATAAGTGATCCGTGACTTAATTCTGCTGATAACTTTTCCTTTTTTCCCTGCCTGTCTTCCCACCTTCCTTAACTTTCTCTTTTTTATTTCAAACCTTATACTATGAAAAATATATAAATAAATTAAAATATTTTAAATAAACGCAGGTTTGATATCTTTTCGAATGCTAGAATTTAAGTGCTGGTTTTGTGTCTCTTTCTTTCAAGGGGTCGGTGTGTACAGTGGGAAAATGCTTTAAAGCCAGAGAGACTTGTTCGTTTTAATCACAAGTGCCATACACTTCAAAGTTGCTAAGAAACTAGATCTTAAATGTTCTCACCACAAAAAAAGAAATTATAATTCTGGGACATGATGTGTTAGCTAATGCTAGGGTGATAATCACATTGCAATATATAAATCTATCAAATCAATATGTTGTATACCTTGAAGTTACACATACACGATGTTGTATGTCAACAGTTTTTATTTCAGCGTTTTTTGAAAATGACGTGGATAGACGTGGATTTGAAAAGCAGTTTTGCCATTGACTGGCCTTGGACCCTTGCATTTGTCAGTTAACTTCCCTGGTCCTCAGTTTCTCATATGTAATGTAAAGATAGTAGCTGCATTTCAAGGGTCACGTTGAAGATTAGAAGTAACTATCTACTGTGGTTTTCAGGAAATAATTTTCTTGGTATTATACACGGTACATCAAGTCTTTGAGATCATGCACTGTCTATGTACATTTGCTTATGTCAACCCCTACAAGAGTTGAACTCATATTGAGGACTTTGAGGTGCCCTGACAAAATAGGACAGATGGTACGTGTAAAATAATGAGTTTACCTTTCCCTGCGTTTTGGGCTGATGTGTTCCCTGTGCTTTAATTGTATGTAGTGCACCTGGTGGACATTTGGAACGTCATAGAAGCGTTGCGGGAAAATGCTCTGAACAACCTGGACCCTAACATAGAACTCAGTGTGGCCCGCTTGGAGGCTGTGCTTTCCACCATTTTCTACCAGCTCAACAAACGGATGCCAACCACTCACCAAATCCAGGTGGAACAGTCCATCAGCCTCCTGCTTAACTTCCTGCTGGCAGCCTTTGATCCGTAAGCTCCCTCTGAATAGCTGTTCCTCTCTGCATGTTTGGTCTCTCCCTCCTCTTGTCCTTCTTGGTCTCTTCCAAATGATTTTCTAGAGTCGCTGGCTGCCTCTTTTTCTTGATCAGAAACTTATCTCAATAAAATCTGTCTGTGTTTAACATAAATTTTCAATGCCATGGGGGAAAAAAACAGTAAAAAAGTGCCACAGGAAATTGAGGACAATTGTATTTTGTATGCTGACCTTTGTTTAACTCATCCCATGCTTCCTAAAAGCTACAGGTGCTTGAAAGTGTCGCGCGATGGCATGCCTGTGGAGCAGTTTAATGAAGCGTGCAGTGGAAGGATGTTTTCAACTCTCTTCTCTGCAGATTGCCTAAGACAGTGTTTCTGAGGTGTCATAACAAGATCCTAGAGCAAACAGAGAGATTGAAGAGGGTTTCTTGATCAGCCTAGTGAAAGGATCCATGGCTTGCGTTAAATGGATCAGTCAATAATGTGCCACATAAAACCGTGTAATGCCTTCCGCACATGATAATTAAATCTCAGCCTCGTTATCTTATACTTTTGTCTCATAGAATCAGAGAATTTCAGAGCTGGCTGAAATATTAAAGACTGTTGTTCCAAATCTCTCATTTTACAGATGAAGGACCTGAAGCACAAAGAGGCTCTCCCTTGACCAGTGTCTCTCAGCATGTTAGTGGCAGAGTAGGGATTTAGGTATTCAGCTAAGATTTCTTTTCCAAGGCATATGTGGCAGCCTTGTGAAGTGTAAAAACTCCCCTGAATTACTTTATCAGCCTAAGATTTCAAAAGGTCTTTGGCTGATTGCCTTTAGTCTAGATATGGTATCAGCATCCCCACTTTCACTACTGGTTTTGAATATTAAAACGGAAAATTGCTAACTTGACCTTTCAGCAATCACATTTTAAGACTCTCAAAAGATTTTGCTTAGTCTCATTGTCTGGCCAATGCTTGGGAATATCTAAGCCTGGCACTGGAGATGTTCCAGCCAGGCTAATGTTATTATGCCGCTCACGAAAGCTACCAGCTGTCACTTTACAACCTAGAGTGGTAACAGAATTATCCGTGTTTGGTTTGACCTGTGTAGAGTATTGTCTCATGATGTTTAAATTTTGAGTAATTCTCGACTTGAAATAAACAGTTCTGAAACAAGCAGTCCGGCTTGATAGATCCCACGCTTAGCCTGTGCGGACTTCAGAACTGATGTACTGCTTTGGCCTAATCACTATGGTAACCAAGTGGCAGGCAGGTAGAGAAGGCTATGGTTCCACATGACAGGTGACAGAATGGAGCCAGGCTATGGAATTTCTGTAATGGCATTTCCATCCTCCCCCCTTGACAAGAGCACAGAAGCTTTCAGACTTGCCACTAGTCTTCAGGGGGCTTATTTGTTATAAGTGGAACAACGGAGAATGTAAAAAGAGAAATAGAATTCTTGCCAGATCTTAGAGTATTGCTGGAGGATTCATAAGGAATCAAAGATAAAAAAATAATTTGTATCCACTCCATAAATATAGAAACTGGGCCAGATTAATATTAAGGAAGGAGGACCTTGTGAAATATGTTAGAGTTATAATACATACATGTGTCATATTTTATATGACATATCATATCTCAGTATTTCTCATAACATGAGAAATATACAATAGAGTTAGATTTTTCACTTCTGTTTAGAAATATTGGGAAGATCACTTTTAAAAAATAGGGCTGTAGATGTTCTCTAAGTAGCTACTGATAATCATTTCAAGGTTGATGAATGCTAAGCTTAAGGACTATCCCAAGGTCAGGAGCCATCAACGTGAACGTTCACATGGAATATCTGTTTGGTTCTTACTCTTCGTACAGATAAAAAGGGCCCTGATGTATACTTTCAGTAATCTCATTATAGTAGATTTTTTAAAACATCCACATAGAGGAATCTCATTTTACAGATTTACAGACACATCCATATAGAGACCCCAGTCTACAGATGCTTCTGCCTTCTCTGTTTTGGCATTGCAAATGAGTATAGGCAGTTCTGCTGATTCTCAAACTTCCATCTGATGGCTTTTGAAAATCTAGACGATGTGGGATGTGAGCCATAAGGAAGTATCAGTAGCTGGAAAGAGACTATAACCGGAAATATTCACTTAAAAGTGAATGTAAGAAGCGAAACTTAAGAATAAAATGAATGTTCAATTCAATTTCTTATAATAGCAAACTCCTGTTTCTCCAAATGAGATCCAGCATGGAAATCTGATGTTGCTTCCTACCACCTATCCCACGACAGAACCCAAGCATTTAAGGGAGCCTTCTGCATTTTGGTAGACGTGAATGAGCCTAGTACATCAAGGATATGCTGTTGCTCTTATAGAATCACTGAAACATTTGGGAGATTTTCTCATTTGCTGTAATTTGAATGAACATTTAAAAAAAACCAAAAAAAAGTCTAAAATAAAAATTTAAACTTGCATTCTAAAGAGATTATATATATGTCTATATTTTTTTTGAAGGAAGGACAGTATAGCAATTTAAATTCATGAAGACTGAAAATAAGAACTTGCATTCAGAGAAACTTGGTCATTATTTTGGCAATGCCTTCAAATTCACCAGACCCAGCTGGTGGAGTCTTCCATGAATATGGTAACCTGAAATGAGGTTCAAAGCCCACTGCACTTGCCTGTATCCTTGAGAACCAGATTTGCCTTCTCACAACCATACCTCCCCCAAAATATCACTCTTTCCCTTCTCTCCCCAGAGAAACACCTGCGTCTCAGTCCTCCCCCAGACATGCTCACTACAGACCACAGCTAGCTTCCTGGTTGCAAGGTTTCTCCACCAACTCAGCCTCTTAGAAGATAGAGGGCATTGCTACAGATGTAGGATGATTTCTAGAGTGTTAGGAGCTAGGATTCGTGCCCAGAGACTATGCTTATGTTTGCCATTCTGTCTCTGAATATCAATCCCTTGAGTCTAGAAGATGTTTTTCCTGACTTTCCTCCTAAAAATGGCTGTATCCTAGCAAGAGTCAACCAGTGGTCGATGACCAATCAACTTCTAAGCAGACCTTTCCATCCCAGACACTGTCTCCTCCAGAGTCCCTAGGAAAATGACAGGTGTACCTGGGAAGGGTGGGAAAGGTGTCAGAATCGGGGATGAGGGACTGAGAGTGAAGAATTAGAGAACAGCCAGAGCCAGTCTCTGTATCTCATCTCTTTTCTTCTGCACACCCCAGGAATTAGCCTGCCTCTTTCCCTTATTTGCTAACAACCTGGAGGCAGCTTTTCTTCCCACTGTTAACTATTATTTTTTAGGAAAACTGAGAGTAACAAAAGAAAACCAACATGGCAGAAAGTTCCAAGGTGACAATAATTTTTTTCAACAGCTTTATTGAAAGGTATAATTGTGACCTTGACACTACTTCTTAAAAGTCTATATTGACCTTTCAAAGAGATGGGGTCACAAACTGATCCGCTGTGAAGCCCTTCACCTCTCATGGCTGAGTTGACCCCCCTCTTCCCCAGGTCCTACTGTTCCTTTCAAATGATTTTGTTATTCTTTTATGGTGCATGTCTTCCTATTTATATGACTGCCTCCCACAAGCTACTATACAGTGGGACCATGGCTTACTCTTTGTATCCACAGCACCTGAGACAATGGCCAGCTCATAATGAATCTACAAATGAATGAGTGAATGAATGAATCAATGAATGAATGAATAAAGATCAAAGATTGACTTTTCTTAGCTCAACACACTAATTTCTTTTCATTCTTTTTCTGAAACTAAGTCCTCCTTAATCTCTAATATATTCCCAAGACTAGGGAGTCCAGGTTTGCTCTGTCACCTAGATTCATACCCTCTATTTTTACTTCTGTTCCACAAGAGAAGAAAACAGATGGCTGTGACTACTAGTGTGGGAGTGTCCTATTTTCACAAAAGACTTCCCTGTAGTTCTCGTACTCCCTTCTTCATTTCTTGGGAAACATGAACAACAACTTTAGTCTGTTGGCTTAATCTCATTTCAATTCACTAGAATCTTCTTTCTTAGGGAAGTTCTTCCTAAGGTAGATTAGGTGACAGTGGCCTTGTTTTTAGCAAATGTTATTTTCACATATATTCAGCCATGCAAATCTCATAGGAGGACGAGGGTAAAGATTAAAAAGAATGGTGGTGTTCCTCTTCTCAGGTGTCCCGCTATATTCTTAAAGCCAGTTCTCCGATGATAGTAATAATGTACTAATGTAATCAGTAATTATATATACAAATAGTGATTATGTACTAATGTAATTAGTAATCATATTACTCATTGTGGTAATAGCTAATACCATTTATTGTTTGCCCACAGTCCTACTGGTTGGGCACTATGGGATTATAACTTTTCAGGTTGAGTAAGCGATACGGCTGGGACATGTGGAGGTTACATAGTGTGTAGGTAATACAGTGTCACCCTAGGTGAGGTCAGTGGGGAAAAAGAATCATTTGTTTCAGGCATCAGTGTAAATTCAGCTGTATTCATGCTTTCTATTACATTTTTAAATGAGAAATTAAGGTACTTTTCCCCCCAAACTTACCCAGCTTTTACAGGATATTTTTATGATGCCCACATTCCTAACCTTTCCAGTTTGTGGTACTCAGACATGTCTGACAGAGTGTATGTGAAGGAAATATTTGGACTTAACACATATTACATTGTAGATTTAGAGTCAGTTTTATGACAGCCATCCAGAATTCCAAATCTATCATATAATAGTCTTTCACAGAGAATACAGAATCCTCTGTTTGACATATTGCACCTTGCTGAGCCATTTGAACATCCATTCCCACTCCTGAGCTTCCCCACACACCCCCTCCAATGCTATGAAAGGTACCACAGCACTATTTCAGACTCGTGGATATAAAATATTCTGGAACTCTGCCCAAATCCGTCTGCCTTTTGAGTTTAAAAAATAATTTTGATGTTTAATGCAAGATGTAGTACAAAGGACACAGCCCTTTCTCTGCGCAC